AGCGAAAATAGTTGAGCCAATGGATAATCTGTAAAATAAATATATGTAGAGGATGTAGATCAAACCTATTGTTGTGACCACAAGTGTTTGGGTCAAACGAGTGCCGGGGTTCATTGAAACATTGCTTTAATGGCTGCTCAAATTGCTGCTCCTAATTAATATGTAACTAACTACTTACTCCTCTGCACATTTAGTTTATTTTACTACTCGACTTGAGATTGTGTTTTTGTTGCTTTTAATGGCCAATTTGCATGAAAATTTGTCGCTTCTGTTGTTTTCTGCTTTGTTTTCCAACAGATTATGTCATTTAGTTGAGTTTGATTGCTCTGCTCAATGTAGAGCAGATTTTTTTTTTCGGTTTTTTTTTTAAATTATTTCGTTGCGCACCCATGTGTGTGACTATATGTACATTATGTATGAACACATATGTTATGTGTTTATATGTTCAGGAACTATCGCGATCGCGGCAGTTAGAAAGCATAGCATTCCAAAAAGGCATACAGAAATTCCTCGGCTCTTGTTTTATTTATTTGTTGTGTTTGTGTGCTCATTCAGTCGTCATTTCACATTTTGTGCGGTTTTGGTTTTATTTTCGTTTTACATTTCGCGATTTCGCGGCTGCTCTCGCTAATAGGCCAACTCTCAGTCTCTCTATCTTCAAACTGGTTAAAGATACACGGGGATAAATACGAGTTCTCTGGCCCATAAACAGGTATCATCTTTTTCGCTATCAAAATAAATTGTTTTTCTATATATAAAAAAAAGTTGCAAACTCTTATTTTTCTATACCCAAAAGGGATAACAAATCTAGTTTATAATCTAAGATCTCAGAACTTGTTATTATAATGCCTTCGATTCTTTTATGTTCGCACTTATTTGGAAATCTTTCCGGCTTGATCTTTGAATGTAACATTCAAAAGTGTATAAATATTTGTTTTCAGTGCATAATAACAAAATACAGCAACATTGAAACTGGTCGGGAAATGTGGGGAGCAATAGAGGGGCGACATTCGCAAATATTGGTCAAGTTTGCAGGCCCCGAGGACTTTGCATACACGAGCCAACGGCATTATGATGATGCCTCCGATGATTTTATGAACGGTCTTCATTATCATCGTCTTCATCGGGTGTGCCAATTACCAATTTCGGTGTCAACTCCTCCTCTTCGGCCCGATCCGATCCGATCCCCACCCCTTTATCACTTTATTTGACAGTTGCTTTAAATCTGCCTAGCCCAGTTTGTGGCTCTTTCCAGCTGCAGTGAAGCTTCGCTAATTGTCATCACCTATATCTTGAATAATATATGAAATTTTTAGCAGCTTGCTAGATATGCTAACGACCCTAATCATTTTAAGGAAAATTTATTTGTAGGCCCATTTTCGGATTTTTCATAGGGGGTGCATCGTGTTTTTTTTAGATCCCGATTTTGGTCAAAAATACGATTTTTCTATCCAGTTTTCAATCGTAGTTTAGCCAAATCAAGGCGTACAGCTAAAAGACCGACTGTTTTGAGCAGCTTTCTTCAAATGCTATCGATTCCCATCACTTTAAGGAACTTTTATTTTTTGACCCATTTTCGCATTTTTTATAAGGGGGTAGATCGGTTATTTTTGGGATTCAGATTTTGGTCAAAAATACTCATTTTTTAGTGGTTTTTCAGTCGTAGTTTGGCCAAATCAAGGCGTACAGCTAAAAGACCGACTGTTTTGAGCAGCTTTCTACAAATGCTATCGATTCCTATCACTTTAAGGAACTTTTATTTTTTGACCCATTTTCGCATTTTTTATAAGGGGGTAGATCGGTTATTTTTGGGATTCAGATTTTGGTCAAAAATACTCATTTTTTAGTGGTTTTTCAGTCGTAGTTTGGCCAAATCAAGGCGTACAGCTAAAAGACCGACTGTTTTGAGCAGCTTTCTACAAATGCTATCGATTCCTATCACTTTAAGGAACTTTTATTTTTTGACCCATTTTCTCATTTTTTATAAGGGGGTAGATCGGTTATTTTTGGGATTCAGATTTTGGTCAAAAATACTCATTTTTTAGTGGTTTTTCAGTCGTAGTTTGGCCAAATCAAGGCGTACAGCTAAAAGACCGTCTGTTTTGAGCAGCTTTCTACAAATGCTATCGATTCCTATCACTTTAAGGAACTTTTATTTTTTGACCCATTTTCTCATTTTTTATAAGGGGGTAGATCGGTTATTTTTGGGATTCAGATTTTGGTCAAAAATACTCATTTTTTAGTGGTTTTTCAGTCGTAGTTTGGCCAAATCAAGGCGTACAGCTAAAAGACCGACTGTTTTGAGCAGCTTGCTACCAATGCTAACGATCCCAATCATTTAATTGAAACATTTTTTTTTTACCCATTTTCACATTTTTTAAAGGGGCGCATCGTGTTTTTTTTTGCGAAAAATGTCAAAAGTTAAACATTTCCAGATTTGAATGCCAATGGATTTGAAATGAAACAGCGAGTTCAACGAGGTGTGGCATTCTTCGATCTGACGATTATTTTTGTAATTGCAGCCAAAAAACTAAATCTAATAGCTCAGATTTTGGTCAAAAATACGAGATTCACATTATAGTCATGTAGAATGTAGACATGTGTTATATTTCATAGAAGACCGAATTGATTAATCATCAGGATCTAAAGAATTCGCGTAAATATAAATCTGGGGCAGTAGGGTGTTACCCGGGTCATCTAGTTTGGCGGATCGTGTTAGGCAAGATCTACTGCCTTGATACTTTTGATGTGTGCCTTCTTTTTGGTGTTTTTTTTCTTTTTGGCCCGAACCAGAACTGAAATCACCTCTTGATCGACTCCAACCCGTCCAACCCGCTCGGTGGCTCCAAACCCGCTGGGTCCGTTGCCTGATCCAATTTCCTAATCATGCAAAGTGGCTCTCGACTCGATATTGCCAGTGATATCGGGTTTGGTTTTTGGGTCTCCGTCTGCTCTTTGCATTTCCCATTTCTGCGGTGTGCCAAATTAATTGGGTGAACGTGACTTCTAATGCTTGTAATGGAGTGGGTGCTAATAGGAATGGGAATGCCAGAAGAGAGACGTGGGGGTCTGTGTATGTATAAGTAATGCCCATTTCGGGCATTAGGTCAAAATTATAAATGTTTTTGCAATTTTTAGTTCTTAGAAATTTTGTGAAATTCTTCTTGATAAGCTTTGTGGGTCAGAATTACTGGACCGCTTTTTGATTCGATTCTTCAGAACTATTTGTTTTATGATTATTTTTAAAAATTTGTAAGCAGATTTACTGGAACTGTATTCGGTAATTGATAATGGGTTTATGTGGGTTTTTTTCGTAAGACTTTTTGAACATAATGTTTTCCCGATTTTTGTGACTGTTGTTTTTATAGATTATTCTTTTTTTTCATAATTTGATAAAAGGATCTCCCTTGTCAGCGCTCCTAATGTTTTGTTAGACAATAACATTACTATCTTCCTAAAAAGAGAGCGTTTGCCAAAGAACTCCGGTCCGAAATTAAAATTGGGAACAAAAGCGTTTCGAGGATTTTGATAAGCGTGAGCCCACTAACCTTAATATTTCCGTTCCAACGAACAGAACATCCCACGGTAATATTTTAATCCTTTCTTATTTGCCATGGGTCTTGGGTGAGGAATCCGAATTCCGGATTCATGATTGACCTTAACCTTATCCCAAGGTTTTGGTTACACACCCAAAACCTTAACTTACTGACCGGCAACGATGAATACCTTTCTTTTCAGCCGCTAAACCGATCCACTTGGGGTTTTTCTGCTTTCCATATACATTTCAGGTACTGGGGATTTTTCGTTTTGAACTTTTATATGCTTTTGCTTGCGATATTTATTTTTTGTTTTGTTTTTTATATAAGTATGTATTTTGTTGTATTTACTTTGGCGACGCCTTCGATTTTCGCCCATTTGCGCAGCAGCTAGTTCATTTCCAAGGCAAGTCACGAGCGGCACTTGCAAATTGAAGAAATCCGCCCAGAGTCGTCTCTTGGCCCCCTTTACCGCCCCCAATTACCGCCCCTTTACCACCGCCACCCCTCTGCCCTGCGGCTCCCTGGGCTCTTTCTCAGGTGTGCCAGCTGATTGATAATTGGCAGAGAGCTCTGCAGATGGAGAGCAGCCTCCCAGGCGAAAGAGCCGCAAACCACTGGCTGCACTGCAAGAAATCTAGAGCTACCAAAAACTGTAAAACAAAAATTCTCCATTTTTTTAATCTTAGAAATTCGAACCAATGCTTAGAGGCAATCTGTATTGAATTTATCGAATCAGTCCTAGGAGATATCGAATCAATCCTTTAAACTATCGAACCAATATAATAAAGTGTATTGAGTCGAGTATTTATTTTATAATAAATATATATATATATATAAAAAAGCAAAGTATTTTTTTCTTATCTCTTAAGCGTAATTAAATATATCATAATTAACAAAATTCGATTTTTACAAGTATCGAATCAATCCCTAAAAGTATCGAATCAATCCCTAAAAATATCGAATCAATCCCTAAAATTATCGAATGAATTTCTTAAAACTTATAGAATTGAAACTTTTTAAATGGGAAATTTTGTACAATGCTTTGGCTATCAATGAAGTGAATGTGTGTGGATTTTGTTTGATATTGAATATTGGAGAGTGAGAGAGAGCAGGAGAGATCAGGAGAGATGGCGAGAGGGCGATAGCTAGGTGGGCAAGTGCCATTTGGGGCTCTTTTTCCTTGGCGGCTCTCGTGTTGCTGCTGTATCTGCTAATGTTGCTGCTGTTGCTGTTGCTGTTGCTGTTGCTATATTGCTATTGCTATATTGCTAATGTGTTGCCATTGCCGTTGGCCGGTTAGCGGGTCTCCAAGACTCGGACACTCGCTTTTGCCAGGTCTTTTGCTTTTGCCCGTTTGCGGATTTTCATAGTTCAGTGCGCTTTCCAGTCGACAACGACAACGCGAACGGACGACGACAACGGCGACAGCTGACGACAGCAGCAACATCAGCCTCACCATCAGCATCACCATCAGCATCAGCATCGCCCATCAGCAACAGAGGCAGCAACAGCGACAGCGGCAGCGGCAGCGTCTAAATATAATCATTTTTATTTGTGATTTATTTAATCAACATCTCACCCAGAGGCCAACCAGAGAGATTGGCGACTGCGGGGGCGGTGTGACAACGAGATAGATGGAAAATATCAAAGAAAAGAGCGGCAAATTGCTCTTGAAAGTGAAGGAAATTGAACAGAAAGTGCCACAAAGTGTTTGCTTATCGGTTATCGGTGATTGAATCAATCAGCCTGTTGATATTAAATGGCCAAAAGTGCTGTTGGTGAATGGTAACTGATTAGAAAAGTGCGGAAATCGTGTGTTGACACCGGAAATAGGTTCTTATCGAGGATTAGACTTAAAATACTACAAGGTTACAGAAGGAAAAACAAGAAATTTGTTCTTAATACATCTTAAAACTAATCAGATAAATCGGTAATCGCTTTAATTGCTTATCGGTTAGGTGTCTTCTTGGATTATTCTGCAAGAAACGCTTGATTATAAAATATTTTAATCAGTGTTCGCTTTAATACAACGTCGTCTCACAGCTTATCGGATAAAGTTATTATCAGTGGCCGAGACTTCCTTAAAAAGCCGAACCGAATGAAACGTGAAACAGTGAGTGTAAAACATGCCCCAAAAATGATGTTGTAATCGGCAATCGCTTAAATCAACAATCTTATACAAAACTGATGTTGCCGCTGCTATCGCTTATCGGTATTTGGTATTTGGTGAAATCAGCCCGGCCACACGACGTGTTGTTATTGCTATCGGCGCATTCGTTTTGGCCAAACATTTTAACCACAACAAATTGTTATGCGTTATGTTGATGTTGATGTTGTTGCATTAGCTGGCCATTATGCAATATGCCGCAGTTTGATGAATCTTTTTTGAGCGACTGTGCGCTGGCCGATCGCTGGCGTTTCTACTCGTACACGGTCAAGCAATTGCCTCCGAATCTCAATCCAAGTCCAAATCATGGACACCATCATCATCATCATCACCATCATCATCGGTGTCTTTGGAAGACACAGCGGCAATCGTGGTCGCCGCGCGATGACAACAACAATAATAATCACAGCCCAAGTAGCAACAGCAACACCTGCAACATCAGCAACATCAGTACCGGCAACACGTTGCATAGCATCAAATTCCACAGACGTCGCAAATACAAAAAGCTGGCACGATTGGCGCTATCAACGCCAGCGATTCCACAGCAGATGGATGTGGATGTGGATGTGGATATGGATAGGGAGTTCGATATGGAGATGGACACACCTGTGCCGCTCAAGAATGCGGTGTGCCGTAAGTGAAAGCTACTCGCCGGGGTTTTCGCTTGGTGGGTGGTGCACCTCAGTGTTTTTGGCCTTTACCGATCACTGATCACTGATCAGTGGATGCCACTTGAAAGTTCCAAAATTCAAATGGTTGGGCACGCATGAACGATTGCCATGTGGGAATGCTGGGAATTTTTATGGCATCAGCTGCAATTATTCCACTCATTAATTGTGGAGAAATACAAAGGGTGAATTCCATTTTTGCACGTCTAAAGCAATTGAAGATGATATTATTTTTAGAGTTTCTTTACCTTGGTCAATTGTAAAATGTATTTTTGATAATGAGAAATTGAGAAAAAGGGTTTATTTATAAACATTTGTACATAGATTTATCAAAATGTTTATATAAAATTTATTAAAATTATTATATAAACTTTATATTTTTACTTTACTAAAATGTACTAAAATTATCATGTACTTATTAAAACCACTTTATATGTATAATATATTCAGTGACTTTAAATTATTCATTTTATTTAACCAAATGAAGAGAAGTAAAAAAAAGCAACCTGGTATACATATTTGCCTTATATTGCAGAAGATTGTGGTTTATGAATGTGGCAACTTTTGATTTTCGATTTGGCATTCAAGAATGCTGCTCAAACGGGAAAGATTTTATTTTTGCCCATCAAACAAGTCACGAAGATTATGGTGCAGAAATATAAAATGAATGAGTCCATAATGCTTTTTTCAAAATTGTCTACGCTATGAAAGAGTTTCCTTTTGAATAACTTTACATGCTATAATTGATAAATAGTTACCTCTGACTCAGGGAATCTCTTATTATAATCGACTTATTTTTAACCTTCTCAACTGATCCCTGTGATATCCCTTCTTATAATAACCCCAGACTTCTAAAAACCACATCAATTTATTAAAAACTAGTTTTATTGATTTTCAGAACCTCTTATCATATCATCAACCTATTCTGAATCTGTTCCTCAGCTGAATTCTTTGATAATATCCCCATACTTGGGAAAAGCTTTTAAAGAGTTTTTCTATTATTTCTCCAAACTTTTATTATTATGCATATATAATGAATAGTTTTTTCTGACTTATGAACCTCTTATAACAATTGACATATTCTGTACCTGTTCCTTATCTAATATCCCATTTAATCCTATTTTGAAAATCCTATTTGAAATGTTTAAAAAAATTGTTATTATTATATATAAATATTGACTAATAGATCCCTCTTTCCGCACTCCTTGCAGACGGCAGCATCAGTTCTCCGTCCACGCCTGGCACCTGTTCCAGTGGTATCGGAGTGGGCGGTGGCGGCTGCAGCAGCAGCAGCAACAACAGCATCAACAGCGGCGGCTACTCCGCCGCCTGCACCCCGCCACCACCCACGCACCACCATCACGGGCACCTTCAGCAGCAGCAGCAGCCGCAGGGAACGCCTGGTGGATCTAGTCGGGTGGGTGGAGCGGCAGGAGGAAGTGGAGTGCCACCGGCACCACCCAGCGCCGGATCGTCGGGCCACAAGAACAGCCTAAAGGGCACAAAGCTAGCGCGCCGGGCGCGCTCCTTTAAGGACGATCTCATCGAGAAGATCTCCCTGATGCGAACCACCAATAACACCCTGGGTCGCTCCCACTCGCCGCATAGTCCGCGCACCAAGCACGGCTCAAAGGCGCCGCCCACCACCGAGGAGGTGCAGCGCTCCACTCAGACGCTGGAGACGCACGTCAAGGACATCTCGAATGCCCTAAAGCACTTCCGGGATGTTATACTCAAGAAGAAGTTGGAGGTTTTGCCGGGAAACGGCACGGTCATTCTGGAAACCATAGCCAGCATGTACTCCGGTGGGTATCTCCGACATTAATTGGTTTCTTCTCTGATTGATTGATTGTCCCATCCTTCTGTTCAATCACAGTGATCCAAACGTACACCCTGAACGAACATAGTGCCATCATGAGCGGCGCCACGCAGCAGGTTTACCAGAGCCTGGGCAAGCTCATCAAGCTCTGCGACGAGGTGATGCTCTCCGAGGAGAGCGGCGAGTGCGCCTCCCTGAGCAACGAGAATGTGCGGGAAGTCATCGATCTTCTGGAGGATGCCGTGCGGGTGAGTCTCAGTCTCAGTCCCTCCAGACAACCTTTTAATCCACATCTTAACGCTCCCACAGAATCTCGTTACGCTGGCGCAGGGCAAGCTGAAGGAGCAGGATCAGTGCGCCTTTCGCTACAGCGGTTCTGGCTTGGGCGGCATCGGAGCTGCGGCCGAGATCATGGGCAAGGTCACCGCCTCGCCGGGAGTCATGAGTCATGTGCCGGGCACGGGCATTATGCGCGTCTCGGTCGCCGAGTCGATTGGCCAGCGCACTTCGCTGCCGGACATAGCACTCACGCCCAAGGAGCGCGACATTCTGGAGCAGCACAATGTGAACCCAATGCGCGGCTCCCACAGCACCGAGAGCATCCTGCGCGACACGAGTCCACCGCCAAAGCCACCGCTACCCAATCGGGCCAGTAATCCGCCACCTCTTCCCCCCAAGCGACGCAGCCAGCCGGTTGCACCACCGGGTGTTGGAGGACTGGGCTCCTCCTCGTCGACATCAACCTCAAATCAGGCCAGTCCGCTGCCCTACGCCCAGTCGACGAATATCAGCATCAACTCGGACCTGGACTGCAGCTCCAACATCTCGTTGCTAAACTATGGCGTGGATCGGTAAGTGGGCCTTTGGTTTGCGTATTCTCCGGCAATAACTGATGGTTGCATCCACACTCTTTCCCTATCAGCCTATCAGTGCGGTCACGATCACCGGATGAGAATAGTCAGTGTTCCTTCGACTCGGCGTTGAATCACTCGCGGGAGGAGGAGGACCACCACCACCAACAGCAGCAGCAGACGCAGCAGCAGCAGCAGCTAAGGCAGTTTCCAAAGATACCGGGCATGATAGACGAGGACATGGAGAAGCTGGTCAGCTACAGTGAGTATTGTCGCAACGCTGCGCCGCCGCCCCCCTCACAATGCCCAACCCAAGTGGTGGCCCCCACAACCAACGAATTCCGTATAGAATCCACTGCTTACGCAGGCGCCGCCATGGAGGACAAAGTACAGACACCCCAGCCGCTCGGTGGTGGTGCTGGTATTGGTGGAGGAGTTGCTAGTGCCAATGCTGGTGCTGGTGGAACTGGAGGAGCAGCCGAAGGCGGAGCTGCTGCAGCGGCTGGTGGCGGGGAGACTAACAGCAATCGCCACTCTAACGAATCGGGTACCCAAAACATCTATCATCGTACTTACAATCCTGCTTTATGTTTTTTGTAACCGTTGCACCTGGCGAGATATATTCCTCCTATCCCCTTTTATGCGCTTTGTAAAAATGCCATTATATTTTGTAAGGCTTTATACCATTAGAAAATAAGTTTGAGCACTTAAAGCTTTAGCCTTTAGGCTTTCTGTATATATTGCCTATACACATCGATAGGTGCTGTAAATAGTTTGACCTCTCACCTTTTCCTTATCCCGCTTATCCTGCTATTCCCACTTTCCCTGTGTATATTGTTTAATTTCCGCTTGGTTTTGGTTTTGGCTTCCCATTGCCCACAACGTATGCTGAGTTATGGACTATTTTTAACGTTCTCCATCCACCTTCCACCGGCAGGTTTCGTTTCGATGCGCGAGTTCCAGAGTGTGCAGTCCTCCACAAAGTCATCCAGCAGCAACTCGGACATTGCGATATCGACGGCGGTGGGGAGCAGCAGCATGGAGTACCAGCAGATTAGCCAGTCGGTGTCGCACAGCCAGCGGCAAATCTCGTCGAGCAGCAGCAGCTGCACCACCACCAGCTGCACCACCAACAGCAGCAGCAGCACTACAACCACCACCGGCTATGGCAGCTCCATTAGCGAACTGGAGCAACAGCAGACGACGAATGCGGTGGTGGCGGATCTGGCGCCCGCCCTGCCGCCAAAGAGCGTTCAGAGGGGCAGTCTAACCCGCCACGAGTCCACCGGAGCCGGCGATGAGCTGGACGAGGCGCAGTCCTCCTCCTCCGGCTGGGCCAGCCACCGGAGCAGTCAATCGGAGATGCCCGAGATGCGGCAGCTGTCGCCGCACCACCATCTCATCTGCCATCAGCACAGCTGCAGTGCTCAGCTGCAGCACTGGCCCTCGAAGCACCGCAGCTTGATCGAGGGCACTGGCAGCTGCGGCGCCTTTGACCAGCGCCACTTGGTGGACCAGGAGCCCCCGCCGCTGCCCATGAAGAAGAAGCACAGTAAGTCGGTTTGCCCACGATGCACACTCTACTTACATCGATTTTCCCTATTTTTCTTTCTTACTTTTTCCGTTTTCCTTTTGATTTTGGTTGGTTGGTTCTGCATCTCCTCGTACCGTGTGTGTATCTGTATGTTCTGTTGTCTATATTGTGTATATTATTTTCATCTATTTTTTTTTTTCGTTTACTTTTTGGAACCGCCCAGGCCAGGCCGAGCGGTAAGTTAGTGGGTGTTTGTTGAGCGCATTTCAAGGGCTTCCTTTTATCGCAGTCCTTTTTTTTATGCGGTATCCATCACACATCCATCGCATAGGTAACTCCATCTAAAGCTAAACCCAGACAAAATCAGACGAAACACTCGCCTACAATAATCAGACCTCCAATCAGTCAGTCGGCCCAGTAAACAGTCAATCAGTCAATCAGTCAACCAGTCATCACCTTTTATTGGTAGCCAGTCAGCGCAGTCCGTTTTGTGAGATTTAGATTTGTTTGTTTTTTAAGAACATTTTATTTATAGCACATACCACCCGCATTATCGCAAACCCCTTAGAAATGTTGGCGACAAGAAAGTTTGCCAAATTGTTGTACGCAAGAGTCTAACCCATCTAAATTATCGTTCCAACCAACATCTAGTGTTTCAAAGTGTGGCCTTTTCGGGTAAGTCTGTGTGTGTTACTAGAGGACCAACACGAAACAAAAACACTAAGCCAACTTTTGCTGCAAAATGCCAAAAAATAAAATCGAAAACAAAAACGAAACAAAGTCACCCACAAAACAAACTTTTTCGACGCCCTTGGAGGGCTCGCAATGCTCTTTATCGCAGTTGTACTTAAAAGAAATTCCTTACACCATTGGGCGTTGATTTCCTTGGCTTATCCAACTAAAAAATATATTATGTATTTGTTATTTGGCAAAAGATACTTCGATTAAAGGAATATTTTCCAAGGGTTCGGTATTATTGCTCGCAAAAACCACTGAAAAATAGAGATATCACCAAATCTAAATGAATTTTGGTCTGTAAATCTGATCTGTAAATCTTGAATATTAAAGATAAGAGATAACCACAGAATACAAAGAAATATTTTCCAAGGGTTCTGTATTATCACTCTCAAAAAATCTGGCAAAATAAAGATAACACTTAAACTTAATAAATTCTAGAAGTTCCTAACTTTTGTACTAATATTTGGTAGCGTTTTTATGAGCATGAAGGAAACCTTCAATCCTAAAACCAACCCATATTGGAGAGAGCATTTCGAGTTCGCTATAGGCTTTTCGCTCCGCTGTTAATTTTGCTGCTGCGCCGCTTTGATTTTGACATGGCGCCCGAGCAGCCACCTGTTTGCAGTTCCCGTTTGTGAGCCCTAGCCCTAGATTTAGTTAAAGTTCTCTGGCTTCCATTTCGCTCCGCCTAACCCACTGTGTCTCCTGTCCCTTGTCCACATGTCCACCTATCTAAACCTCCAAAAACCCGCTCCATATATCCCGCTCTGTGTGTTGTTACCCGTTCCTGTTACTTATCGTTGTGATGCGACTCCTGTAGACCTGGTAAACAGACAACTGACCCTGACCCCCGGTGTCTAAGTATATCCCACCTCTGTGTGAGGGTCCAAGGATCCAGTCCATCGATCGATCGGCTTAGTTTTGGTTTCTGTTCAACCCGTTGTGATTGATGCATTGCTAATGATCTGCCTCTCCCTACCGCACACAGTTCTGGCCTACATGGAGATCTGCTCGGCGTCCACGCGATCCATTGAGCAGCACCGCCACACAGTGCATGCTTACAACATCAGTCGCAACCTCACGCAGAGCCAGACCATGAAGTGAGTAAAGTTGTATCTGGCAGGGACTTTCTGCAAATCAATACTAATTTGTGCGTTTCTTTTGGTAACCCCGAAATAGCATCATGTCCGTGAGCAAGGAACTGTCGCCGGAGCTGGAGGTACCGCCCGCCCTGCCGCCAAAGAACTACAAGCAGCGCATGGCGACAAGTATGGGATCATCGCCCTCGCTGCAGCCCATCATTGTGACCACACCGCCTCCGAGTCCGAAGCCGACGCTGGGCGAGAATGGTTCGACGGGCAGGCCGGACAGTCGGATGGCCACCGTTTGCGAGGAGCTCCATGATGGTTTGGCCAGCGAGGATGCGATGCCAGAGCTCCGGTCGCCCGTGCTCGATAGCAATGAGAATGTTAGCGCCGTCGACGATGGCCAGACCTTCTACTGTCACTCGCATCAGCTGCCCGGCGAGGTGGGCGTGGGCGAGGTCGTGGATAATGTTGGTCAGCCAATTAGCACACCCCAAGTGCTCGAGGAGGAGCAAACGGTGGAGCCTCGGCCAGGAGTGGCTGGTGACGAGGCTGCCAAGCCAGAGATCGCCGCCGCCGTCCGCGTGGAGGAGGAGGAGGGAGAGGAGATGCTGATCAACATGCTGGAGGAGGTCAACATCACACGGTACCTGATACTCAAGAAGAGGGAGGAGGACGGGCCCGAGGTGAAGGGCGGCCACATCGACGCCCTCATCGTGCACGCCAGCCGTGTCCAGAAGGTCGCCGACAATGGTAGGCATTCGCAGCGCAAGCAGAAGCAGCACATACATACCAAATCCCATTCGCATGGTCATTTACCCAACACCTCTGTTGTCTCTGTCCATTTTCATTCCGTTCGTGCAGCATTCTGCGAGGCCTTCATCACCACCTTCCGCACCTTCATCCAGCCGATCGACGTGATCGAGAAGCTGACCCATCGCTACACATACTTCTTCTGTCAAGTGCAGGACAACAAGCAGAAGGCCGCCAAGGAGACCTTTGCGCTGCTGGTCCGAGTCGTCAACGATCTAACGTGAGTTGAGAGTCCCCAAAGGGTTAAATAAGTAACTCAACAGATACCCAATCAAATTGTTAACCCCTCTCCTTACCATCCAGGTCGACGGATCTTACCAGCCAGCTGCTAAGCCTACTGGTGGAGTTTGTCTATCAGTTGGTTTGCTCTGGCCAGCTCTACTTGGCGAAGTTGCTGCGCAACAAGTTCGTGGAGAAGGTGACGCTGTACAAGGAGCCCAAGGTGTACGGCTTTATCGGGGCGGAGTTGGGCGGAGCTGGTGGTGCCGCCGGATTGGTAGTGGCCGGGAGTGGTGGGAGCAGTGCAGCCGGTGGAGGAGGCGGTGCAGGCAACCAGCCTAGCCTGCTGGACCTCAAGTCGCTGGAGATCGCCGAACAGATGACGCTGCTGGATGCCGAGCTGTTCACGAAGATCGAGATACCAGAAGTATTACTATTTGCCAAAGATCAGTGCGAGGAGAAGTCGCCCAACCTCAACAAGTTCACCGAGCACTTCAACAAGATGTCCTACTGGGCGCGCTCCAAGATCCTGCGCCTGCAGGATGCCAAGGAGCGGGAGAAGCATGTGAACAAGTTCATCAAGATCATGAAGCACCTGCGCAAGATGAACAACTACAACTCGTATCTGGCGCTGCTGTCGGCCCTGGATTCGGGTCCCATAAGGAGGTGGGGTCTAATAAAATAGTAATATAATAATAATATTTAATATATGTGACTTCTCCTCCTTCAGACTGGAGTGGCAAAAGGGCATCACCGAGGAGGTGCGATCCTTCTGCGCCCTCATCGATTCCAGCTCCAGTTTTCGGGCCTATCGCCAGGCCCTGGCCGAAACTAATCCGCCCTGCATACCCTATATGTAAGGAGGCTGATCTCCTTGAAAGTTCTGATCCCAAACTAATAAACTCGATTTCTTGCAGCGGCCTGATTCTACAGGATCTGACGTTTGTGCATGTGGGCAACCAGGACTATCTGTCCAAGGGCGTCATTAACTTCTCTAAGCGCTGGCAACAGTACAACATAATCGACAACATGAAACGTTTTAAGAAATGGTAACTTATTTACATTTTAAGCACCCAAGAATTAAGTTGCTAGCAACTGATATCTGATATCCTTAACCCGAACCTGTTACAGTGCCTATCCATTTCGACGCAACGAGCGCATTATACGCTTCTTTGATAACTTCAAGGACTTTATGGGCGAGGAGGAGATGTGGCAGATATCCGAGAAGATCAAGCCGCGAGGCCGCCGCCCGGTTAACTATTAGTCTTCAAGCAGCAACAGCAAAACACCAATATTATATATTACAGTATATATACAGTATATATATACAATATTAATTAAACAGTGCAAACGGTTGCCACATCTTGGAGAAGCATCATCGGGAGCAGCCGAAAACTATTCTAATGGGTCTGAGCAATAATGTTCGCTATTCTCTGTCTATATATACAATTATACAAGATATCTAGCTATAGTTACCAGCCGATGCCGGATCAGAAATACATATACTTACATAAGACATAGCGATTCAGATACGGACACACACGTAGCCGTAGCCGCGTACAAATAACGAGCCGATCTGTAGTTTAACTATTAAGCTCTATGACGGTCGGGCAATGGCCCGGCCTCAGCTAAACTCCCCACCAATAATCGAGTCCCTATCTACAGGTCCCAAGAGTTTTCACCGGACTTTTGCCAGCACTAGAACACCAAACTTAAGAACCACCAGAGACAACCAATCAAGAAATCAGCAACTTTCGCTTTTGTTTTGAGATCTCTTTTTACACAAGAACACAACGAATTTTTGGAAACAAGCTACGTGAGAAGGTGAACGTAGAAGCCAACCGACAAACTATATTCGATTTCGATGATATATGTAGCGATATCTCGGACTTTAAATCGATGCAATCCACGAGCAGAACACCAAGCAAAAGCAACCAAGCACAAAGCGCGTTATATGCAATTCTCTCAAAACAACCAATATTAAATACCCCTGTGTGTTAGAAGTTATTGAAAACGAAAATTAAACTCGAAACCGAAACCGAAACCGCGACCGAAGTCGGATTTCAGAGTACAAAAAACAGCGGTGTCGATCAAATCAATCAAAAATCAAATCAATCATTTCGCGACTCAATTAATCGAAGCAACTTTTAAAGTTACAAAGAAAACAAAAAACAAAACCCATGGGAGATTACCTAAATTCAATTTGCTTTTAAATGTACGACTAACATAAAGAAAAATATTTATGGGCATGTAATAATAGTTCTAAATAAAGCTTTTGACTCCTCCTTTCGATTCTGCAAGGAATAAATTTATTGATATTGATATTGAGTGTAAAAATATTAAACTAGCGAAGAATTCTGGAGCAGAGTGAAAACTGAATGAAATCGAAACTGAATCGACCTCCAGTGGTTTTTACTTAGCAAAACACTGTCTCGTCTGAAAATATTGTCTTCTTATTTGGAAATGGGAAAAAGAAAGAAAAGGCTGCTTATTTGAAGAATTTAATTCCCGATCACCATAGCCATTTTACTTTAAAGTGAATATTCATTTGTATTAAGTGAGTTCGGTCTTCGTTTTGCTGCCGCTTCCGCTGCCGCTGGCGCATAAATTATGTTTACTAAGCTAACGAACCTAAGGATAACAATTTTTTCGTTTTTTTTTTTTCCTATTTTTAAATTAAATACTTTGTATATGTAGAGAAAATTTTCAATTGTAAATGTATTTGTAACTAAATGTTATGCGTGTACTCGTAAGAAGAATGAAAATAGCTACCACAATCAATGTATTTTTCCTTTACCCGCAAAATGACTTTTTATTGGGGAATGGGATGGTGTGGGTGCAATCGAGTAAATATGGTCTAATCCTTTAAATTTTCAGGAGTTCCAAAAAACTAGTTTTCATATTTCAATACTTCAAAAATAGAGATGTTGGGAAATATTTTGCTAAAACTCAGCACTCAAGTGTACGTATGTTAAAAAAAAAAAAAATATTTTAAAATTCTACAAACCTAGACCTTTTTTCGAAAAATGATTGCCAAAATACCTAATTTTTTGGGTCGAAAAATAGGTACAAGGATTTTACATTTTTTCGACCCAAAAAATTAGGTAAAAGGATTCTAGATTTTTGGCGAGAAATAGGAAGCTAGCAGGAATTTAAAATGAAGAATTTGTCCTGTAAGTTGACCACATCTATCGAGGTTGACGGCTAATTTTTTAATCATTGACACCAGGCCAATAGAATCCGTAGCAGGTGGCTGCTGAGCTTTAACATTTTCCTACTGGAAAAGAACCGTTAGTTTAGTATAAGCAGACTAGAGATGGACAACCGCTTGATCGTCAACAAATCCTCTATATATTTTCAAAAGGCACACCTCTAGTAAGGCATTAAAAACAAATCGTTGGCCACCTACGAATTTTCCTGTTCGCCTGGTGTTTGAAATCGAAAAATCGCTATATACTTTAACAAATTTAAAGGATCGCAACATATTTTCAGTCAAAATGCTGAGTTTATGGCTCTCAGACACCAGGCAAACAGAAAACTTAGCAAGTGGCAGCTGGTTGCTAAAACTAAACTTAAGTAACTGTTCATTTTCAATATGGCGGCCCTTTCCATACTTCCCCACCCCCATCTGACCAATAGGAATCAATCTCCATGGGAAACAACCGTTAGTTGAGAGCCAAGCACAGACTAGAGATGAGCAACCATGGCCGTGTCATGATATTGTCACGAGCTTGTCACGATATGCACGAAATAACTGTTAAGTCCTATGTACTTGCTTAGGCCGTGACAAAGGGGAACGGTCACGAGGGCATCTCTAAATAAGCTCAGATTTAACTAATCAGCTGATCGATTCTCCACCTGCTAAACGTTTATGTTCGCCTGGTGTCTGAAATTAGGAAATCTACTAAATTTCAACTACCAGAAGACAATTTCGGGCCAAGAGAGCACGTCAAAGTGCTGCATTTATCGCCTCAGACACCAGGCAAACAGAAACCTTAGCGAGTGACAGCTGGTAACTAAATGTCAACTTATATTTTTCAAAATGGCTGCCCTTTCCATATTTCCCCTCCCCCTACCGACCAATAGCAATCATTCTCCTTAAAAATCAACCGTTACTTGAGAACCAAGCACAGACTAGAGATGAGCAGCCATGGCCGCATCACGAGTTTTTCACGAGCTTGTCACGATATGCACGAAATAACTGTTAAGTCCTTTGTATTTGCTTAGGCCGTGCCAAAAGGAAGCAGTCACGAGGGCATCTCTAAATAAGCTCATTAAACTAATCAGCTGATCGTTTACACGCCTGCTAAACGTTTATGTTCGCCTGGTGTTTGAAATTTAAAAATCTACCAAAATTTCATATGCCAGAAGACAATTTGAAGCGAAGAGAAAGTACCTTACACGTTGGAACTGGAAATTTCAAAACTGTGGTAGGATTAAATTATACATATCGTGGCCCATTTTTAAAAGGAAAACTAGAAGCAAATAAAATATTTTATTCACATATTTTTGATTTTATATACCAAAGTATTCCAGGAATCCCCCCTTTGGCTATAAAAAGCGGGTAGGCAGCTATAATCCGGCCGAACAAGCAGCACTGGCACAGAACCAAACATTTCGCTCCGTTGTTCGTTCGGTTTATTGCAGCGCAATTAAATAAGATACGTTTGTTGTGGCCAGTGCTTGCAGTGCATTGCCACCCACATCCACCGCAACCTTCGCCGCGATGTCACAGGTTTATCTGCTGCCGGTGGCCACATTCCTGATCTTCCAGGTGACCTTTATCGGCACGTAAGTACACAAGTGCGCAGTGGCTGTTGCTGGGCCACTATCTGAATCTGGTTGATGATTATCTGGACTGACCGACTGGACTGGCTCCTTATCCCGTTCTCGCTTCGCAGATACATTTTCGCCGTGCTGGAGGGTCATGTAGTGCCCACGGTGCCCTACATCAGCGATGCAGCCACATACTCGCCCGAGAGCTGCGTGTTCGGACAGCTCATCAACATTGGGAGCGTGCTGTGTGAGTCCCCGGCATCTTGTGTCCCTGCGCCCCCGCCTCCCCATCTCCAGAGCTGGAGATTATGACTCAGCTCTGGCGATTAGACACGGCGCTTGTGTTAGTGTTGCAATTTCTCTAACCGATTCGCTTGTGCTTTGCAGTGGGCATCACCATCTATGTGCGCTACCGCCAGGTGCTGCAGCTGTACGAGCACCATCCCGACCTGGACGCCTCGGTGCTGCGCCAGAACCGCCTGGCCCTGTGGTTCGGACTGATCTCCTGCCTGGGCATCAGCTTCGTGGGCAACTTCCAGGAGACGAACGTGCGGATTGTGCACTTCATCGGCGCCTTCTGCTGCTTCGGCTGCGGCACCTTGTACTTCTGGATGCAGGCGCTCATCTCGTATCTGATCTTCCCCATGTCGGGCACTCGCATTTACGCCCACCTACGCCTGGCCATGTCGGTGGTCTGCACGATCCTGTTCATCCTGCTGGCGGTCACCGGCGTGATGTCGCACATTCTGTTCAAGGGCCAGAATCCGCGGAAGTGGTGGGTTCAAAATGAAAGCTCTATCTGGAATATGCTTACATATCGTCTTTTCCTCCTTTAGGTATCCCTCGGACGGCGGCTGGTACTTCCACGTGGTCAGCTCGATCTCGGAGTGGATCATTGCCACCATTTTCAGCTTCTTCATCCTCTCCTTCACGCAGGAGTTCCGCGACGTGTCCTTGTCGCATCCCCCCATTGCCCTGATGTCCTATGCGACCACCATCTAGAGTTAAGCCAGCTAGTTGTAGAGATCTAGAGATCTTCGGCTGGAGTAGCCAGCGATTCCTCTGCCAGCTTCAACATTTTATGTTTAATCCCTGGTGGCAAGAGCACGGGTCACGAAAGGACGTAGGATGCGCTTGTCCGGGATTGGGCACTGCGACCTCTCCGACTGCCTTCCCTCTCTGTTTGGTGCTCCTTCTCTGTCGGATTGCTGTGATATGTGCAAAGTGTTTCCCAAAGATTGGGTAGATTGGTGGTCCCAAACGGTAGACAGCTGCTTGATTGAGGAGTTATATTTATTGTTTACCCGAGTTCGTTTTTACAATATATATTAGAATTACTAAATCGAACTAATCGGTAGAAATATTCTGTAAATCTGTAAAATACAAAGCAATTAAATGAAAAGGAGTGTTTTGTTTTGTTTTGTTTGTTTCTTTGTTTGTCAATCCCTAGCGCTTGCGATCCCTGGAGCGATCGCCATCCCGATGCTTGTGGCCACCTCGGCTGCCGTGGTTCCCGCTTCCTCCTCCGCCACCGCCACCGCCTCCTCCTCCGCCTCTACCGTCTCCCCCGCCACCGCTGTTGCGATGCGAGGAGTAGCGACTGTGCTTGCTGGAATTCGAGCCGGAGTTGCGATACTTGTCACCATCACTTACATTGTTGCTGCTGCCGGCGTTCCCAGATCGGTCCTTCTTGGAGTAGTAGTCAGAGCGTTCTCGCGAGGATTTCCTATTGGAAGGATTGGTAAATTATAATGACACTAGGTTGGACTGTAGCTTAGATCTGTATGTAGATATTGCTAGAACTAGCGGGAGTTAGTTAAATGGAAACCTACGTTTTCCTGTGCTTGCTGTGCGGCGAACTGGAGCGCGTGGGCGAACGCGAGTAGTGGCGCGACTTCTTCTTGTGTTTCGGCGGCGACCTAGAGCGCGAGCGGGAGGATCGGCTGCGGTGGGACTTCTTGGTGCGCTCGCGACTCGGCGACCTGGACCTTGGCGAGCGGGAGCGCGGTGTTCGCGACTGAGTGCGCGTCCTGGAGCGCGAACGCGACCTAGAATCCTTCTCCGGCGACTTCTCCGATGGCAAGGGCAGCGGAATCGCCCGCTGGATAAAGCCACCCCACGCATTGTGCGAGCCATTGTTGCGATCCACGGTGATCACAGCCGGCGGTGTGTTCGCCTCCTTTGTCTTGTTGCGCGCATCGATATACCGCTTCTTCAGCTCATCCACAGCGGCCTCAAGCTTCTCCACCACCGGCTTGGAGCGCGTGTACAGCTCCATCACCCGGTAACAGATATCCGTGATGTCCGCCATCGGCACCCGGAAGATGCCGAACCACGGTGGACTACTGGGCAGCGGTATGTTCAGCTTACGGGCACTCAGGTAGATGCAGGCACAGGCAATTGCCTCCGGCGTGTAGCGCATAAAAACGTCCGTCCTCAGCGAGTCGTTCATAAAGTTCCAGGAGAGCTGCATCAGCTTCTCGTGCTTCTCGTACTGCAGCACCTGCAGATACATCACGATCAGCTTGTGCGGATGCTTCACGTGCACGCAAAAGCCCAGTTCCTTGAGGACGCGTCGCTCGGCCTTGATTACCTGCATCTTGAGGTTAGTGTAGTATGGATCCAGCACCATGGGCGAGATTTCCCTGCAGGTGGGAAACGGAAAAGTTAGCTTAGTTTGTGTGGGATGGCCAGGGAAAGCACTTACTTTTGCGCCCGCACTTGCTTGATGTGGTGAAACACATTGATCACGTCCCGGATGCGACGCGGCGCCTCCTCGATCTTTGAGGCCAGGCACACGCAGCTCATCGCCACCGTCTCCATGTTGTGGCGCACGAAGCTCTTCGAGTAGAAGAAGCGCTGAAAGAGCACCTGACCGGTGGCCATGGCGACCTGCGGCAGGCGCAGCAGGATGCCCGCCGTCTGGATGAGCTCACAGCCGAGTATGCGCAGGTCCTTCTCCGTCTCGTGGTCCAGTCCATCCTGGCTGGATGGCGTCACATCGATCTTGTTCTCCGGAATGAGGCTGTTCTCCAGCGTCAGCACGATGCGATTGAAGAGGCGCGGATAGATCGGCTTGCTGGCGTCTGCCTGGGCCGCTGCCACGCCTCCGGCCGCATCACCGGACGCATCGCCTGCCCCCGGGGCCGCTGCACTGGTGCTGCCGCTGTTGTTGCTGTTGTTCGAGATGTTGACGCTGTTCGAGTGGAGCGATGTCACCGTGGTCAGCACATTGGTGATCGTCTCCACCGTCAGCGAGGTGGCTGTCACCGTCGTGTGGACCACAGCGGCGCCGGCCCCGCGGCTGGCCATTCGTGTCCGGAGTCCACGTTGCGCGATTCACTACGTAGAGCTTTTATTTTATGTTTTATTTGTTAACTTCGTTTTTTTTAACGCAGTTAAGCGATAACAGGAGGCGTGATTTGACATGGAATCGGTATCGGTATCGGTAGTGCTGCCACCTAGCTACTTTCCACAATGCCCTAAACTAGTTGGTGGTGCGTGTCCAAATAATGGTTTGTGTCCTATTTACATGTTACACAGTTTATTGATGGCGGTTTCAGTTTCGCTCTCCCTTTAACAGAAATGTTACGATTTACATAGTGTTTTAACAGTTTAGTGACGATCATATTTTTATACCCTTGCAGAGGATATAATGATTTCAGTCAGAGTATATATATTCTTGATCAGCATCACTAGACTAGTCTATCTAGCCATGTCCGTCTTTCCGTCTGTCCGTTTCTACGCAAACTATTCTCTCAGTTTTAAAGCTATCGGGTTGAAACTTTCCCAAAAGTCTTATTTCTATTGCAGGTAGTATATAAGACAACTATATCCTATAGCTCCCATAGGAATGATCAAAACAAATATTATTTAAAAAGTGAAACAAATAATAACGTTTGTCATATTAACTTCCACTCTTGGGAATATAACTCATTTAACATTTCAAAATTCCAATAAAACTTAAATCAAATCGGACGACTTCATCATTTAGCTGGCAACTAACTAATGTGAAAACAATACATAGAGTGTTACATTTCGTTTTCTGTAATTATCTTAAAATTTGTATGATTAGTTAAGTTTTCTAAAAATCGGAAAGCCCTGTGCATACAATGCTTTCACGGGAACGATCTGCAAGGGTATAGAGATTTCGGCGTGCCAAAGTTGGCTTCTTTTCTTGTTTTCAGTATTTTTGTGTTTAAACGTAAGCAAACGTAAGCAATCAACATCGATATTACCGATGTTTTTAAATTATCGATGTCATCGATGTTTACATCGATGTTTTTCCACCTCTACTCAGCCAGTCAATTTTTTTTCAATTCAAGTTTTGAAAGAAAGCAAGAAAGCAGTGCTGTCGCTAAACAAAACTAAACAAAAAGATTATTATAAAAACAAAACATTAGCCGAGCCGCGATATAGTTGGTGTGATTTGTTTTTTTATGTTTGGTGTTCTTATTGTGCTCGTGAGCAGGTGACAAACAGACGGAAACAAGTGGTCCAAAGTGGTCCCATCAGTCCCATTGGAGCTGCCCGAAATCGCAGTACTCCCGGAGTCCAGTTTTCCGGGGCACTTCCCCCGCCGAAAGCCCCGCTCAACCCCCAGAGCCCAGAAACACCAGCCGTACATTAGGGGTTGCAAAATTTTTGCAGCCAGTTCGGAAAAGTCGAAGGAAACGGAAAATCGTGTGTGTTTGTTTTGAGGGGAAGGAAAAATAAGGGAAGCGCGCAAAAGAGCACTGCCCCCTTAGGAAAATCCAAGCGGAATCGGAAGGGGAATCCTCCGCCGAATCCTTGAGAGAATCCCTTTCGCGTGCCATGCGTGACCTCGGCACCAAAATGGCCGAGCTAAAATTCGAGGCTCCGTTGGCGAAGTTCGAGGAGACGGACGAGTGGGGAGGCTGCGACTTCATCTCGAACCAGAACGCCCTCAACGACACGCTCAACCTGAATCTGAAGGACTCCTCCTCCTCCTCCTCCGGCGGCAAGCCGGATGCGGCCAAGCTGCGCCTCCTGGAGGATGCTGTGCGCGATGCTCACGTGAGCAAGAATGGAGGAGGCGGTGGCGGTGGCGGAGGAGCTGGCTCCATCAGCCCCAATTGCAATACGCTGCAGGGCGGCGGTTCGGTCATAGATCTCGGCCTGTCCGATGTGGGCCTGGTGCCAGGCGAGGGCTCCGGCTCGGGTTTGGATGGCCTGGAGAAGCGCTCCCTGGCCGCCGGCGATCATGTGGACAACTTTACGGAGACCTTTGGCGGCAGTCTAGAGGATCTGGTCAACACGTTCGACGAGAAGATAACCAAGTGCTTCGGCAACTACGAGGAGAACGTCGAGGAGTTGGCTCCGGTGCAGGTGCGCAGCCAGGAGGAGATCATGAATGAATGCCAGTGAGTTTACTAACCCATATTATACCCATGATTTGCTTATAAAGCAACTGATAATATATTTAAAAGAAGCCTATAGGGAAGGGAATCTGTCAAAATTAGGTTTCTAAAAATGTATCATCAAACATATCAATTCAATACCATAATGGCGTCCTATATTAAGCAAGGGATGTATCAAATCTTGAAAAATAAATTGGGTTTATACTAAATTTTGGCAGAGCTTTGGATATTTTGTAAGCCAAAACAATCTGACATAAGGATGCCGCATGCGACAATTCCAATCCTAGAGTTATGTAAAGTGCATTCCGCGATGTTTTGTGTTTTCGTGTCTATTGCGACGCTGCGGGTGGCAAGTGCGCATGCTCCAAACTCAGACCGCTACCCCGTAACCCCTGACCCCTGACCCCTACCCCTGACCACCCCTCTTAGCCGAGTGTTTCAGGCCCGGCGCCACATAACGACGTAATCCTGCCCAGAACGCGGAGGGTGGGTGGTGCTTTCTTGTTGGATCGATAAAAGCACCAGGAGTTTTCGCCGTTCGCTGTTTTCATCTGGTTTTTCGGCGACTGTTGCGCTTCGTACATAAATACATATATGTATTTGTAGATGCAACGGAGGCAAAGGCACCCTGTAGTCAGTCGTAGTACCGCCTTCGTAGTAAGCCCCATTATAATCCACTGGTCCACTTATGTCGAGGAAGCGACAATTACACAAAGAGGGGGCCGCAGGGTGGGGGAAATAAATCATTTTATATCCAGTGGCCAGATAAACACTTTATGGGGCATTAGCCACCAGGGCAACTTGGGGGCCGGGAGGAGAATTCAAGATAGTAGAGGGTGGGTGAAAGTTATGGGAGGCTGGAGTGGAGGAGAGGCTAAAGAGTTCTTGAAGGCCGCTTCACTTTCCAGCTTTCAGAGATTCCGCAGTTGAATGCAAATTCAGCAAAAAAAAAAACAATAATACTATATGGTTGTCATTCTTCCTCTTTTCCCTCGGCTGACATCAGCCATAAATTTGATAATCGCGTGCACACCCGCGATCCATGTGTATGAGTGTTTGTTTTTACGAGCGCAAATACTCACTCACATCCTGTGCAAATTAACAAACACAGTGGGCAATCGCTAAGGGATACCCTGGGATAAAGTATCTGGAATTTTACTAACGATTTTTACGATTTAACCATCGTATTAACCTAAGCGATCTATCTGTTTTTTTAAAGAATTTTTATATCTACAAAGAAAAACCCATAATAAAGATTTCTAGTACTTTTTGTCCCTTGTACTGGAAGAGATTGGTACCCACATGTGTGTCCAAAATATTTTGAGGAATTCAGATACGATGATCGAAATTCCAGCTACAAATTATACCAACAGAATGAATAATCATTTATATACGTACATATTTGCCTGTAAATCAGAGTGAATAACTCGTTGCCTTTGCCTTTGCTTCGTGATTCTTCTTTAACCTCTATGCAGATGCTGTGGCCCTCCCCCTTCCACTTTCCCATGCCCCCACCGCCTGGAAGGCTGGAAATGTGTAGAGATGACAAAACTCTGCAGCAGCGCAGTCAACCGAAGTCGTTCGCTCTGCTGCAGTTTGTCTTAATTGCGTTTTTTCATTTTACGAGTATTCATTGCCATCGCTCTCACCTTGCCCCCACTCTCTTTCCCTCTCTCTATCCACCTATCCCCACCTTTCTCTGCCCCCCCCCCCTCTCTTTCGCACCCACACGAGTGCATCTTGTGCTGCCGAACTAACTGTCACTGCCTTTGTTCTCCTTCTTCCCCTTTTTAAAGGGTGTATCAAGGGTATTTTGAACTTAAAGATGCTTGGTTTTAATTTAAAAAAAGTATTAATGTTTTTTACTCCTCAACGATATCTGAATATTTTCAAAGAAAAAATATGAAAAATTTCAATATTCATAATCTATTGATCACATATCAAATTGATTCAGCACTTCTGTGCTGTTTTGGCGCTACAAACATCCATCTATAGATCTAAATGTAGTTCGCTATTACATATTCCAATATTCTTAAGACCTTTCGAAATAAATCATTTTTTTTCTAAAGGAACACCTTTTCGGTTGTTAAATCTTCTGTCATAGAAATGTACTATCCTATTACCAGTAAGCCATTGTGACCTTTGAATCTCCTTTACCCCCAATCCCCCGATCTCAACGATAAATAAGGGATATCGATTGGTCTAACCCAGATGCTGTATGCTAATGGTTTGTTCTTGTATTTCGGGGCGTTAAACGCAGTTGCGACGCCAACGCCTGCTGTCAATATTTACCTTATTTAATAATGGTTCAGTGGATAGTGTGCTGAGTGAGTTTTCCGAGGCCGAAGGTCGCTCTATTGTTCCAGTCCAGTCCCTATCCTGGGAACTATATATGTGGCACATGCATACATACTAAATTCATTGGCCAAGTTCTCAACTGCATTCCGCTCTGATTAGTGGCAGTTGCTCCAAGGACGAAGTTCACTTCGAGCGGAAAGTTGAGTCAACATGGAAAAGCTTTTGGCAGCGGGACAAGATGAAGAAACGCAGACTCCTATAAAACAAGAATGGCAAAGAGAAAATTTAATTGGAAAATGAATAGTTTAGATTCTAGTCTTTTTTTCATACGTTATCTTTTAAAATAAAAAAGGATACATATCCATTCATGGTTATAGATCCATACCACTCTATAGAGGGTATAATACGTACTACGTAGTACAGGCACGATTCGTAATCGTAATCGAGCTGACCATATGCCAGGTACGACTGGGGCTTATGGCACATATAAAATCCGCTCCATATGGCCAGCATTCTTCCGGTTCAATTCGTTTCAGTTCGGTTTCTTTTCTTTCTTTCGGCCGAAACACGCGACATGGGCCGAAAAGGTGCCGATGGAGACTTTTTGCTCATAATTGAATTGTTGCTGGCGACCCACTTTTGCGGCCAAGTCCCCAAGACCTCAATCGATTCCCGTTTCGCGCCAGGGTTCAATGTCCTGCATCCTGGGTGCACAACTTGCATCTGCCCTCTGTCGTATTAAATAATCTCCATTGCTTAGCTAAATTTGGAGATAGTGAATATCGTGTATAGCTTGCCTAAGATTTCAAATCTCTTTGTATTTTAGGAACCCTAACTTGTATAACATTGTTTAATTTTAATAAAACTCTTAATGATTAGTTTAGATATATACAAAATAAAAAATATTTAAATTATGTAAATCATCTTAAAACTTGATCTGTCTATCGTATATTACTCAACAGCGGTCATCTTTTTCTTAAATGCATTTCCCAAGTTGATCATAAGCATTATTGCCTGTGCATCGAAAAAACTCGTTCGCAACCATTTAAGGCAAATGCCAACAGCTGCTTCGTTTTTTATGGACAGCTTGCTTTATCAGGGGGGGGGGGCTGTTGATCAAGGTGGACACACAGAGGAAGTGGGGCTTTTAGCGATCTGCAGTCCGGTCTATTAGACCATTCGTTTATTAATTGACCACACGCAATGGTAATGGTGGCATCTCTACACTCGAGATCTTACATCAGCAAATTCATTTGGCTGCAGACAAACAAATGCCGAAGCGTTGATTGCTCTTAATTGGTAAATGGTATAAGTGTATAGTATAGTATTCGGTATTTGGTTGGGGAACCTGTTGACTGTTTTGCGGCCTTCTATGACTTTGAAATCAGTGCCAAGATCGCAATGCGCTTAAGGAGGTCCAGAAGCAGCAGAACATTTAAGAGTTCTTTTGAGCTTTAGTTATAATATACCTTTATTTCTACACAGAAAGAGATATACAAGTACACTGTTCTTGAATTGAGAACATTTGTTCTTGAAACCCTGTAAGGACATTTTGGTATCAATTTTCTCAATATTAGAACGTAATGGTGAGAAGAGAAAGGTTAAGTTGAGTTTATTTATCAACTTTTTGATATATATATTATTTGTTGAGATATACAATGTTAATACCGCCATTTCAACTTGATTTAAGCAAAATAAAAATATTTTCAATTTGTTCTGTGTAGTTATTTAGATAATTTAAATTCGATTCCCACCAGTTAAACGCAATGTACCTCACAACAAAGTCGGTCATAAATTATTCATTTGAGTTCATTGACTGGTAATGACAGTATTAGCCAAGGACTTGCTTTGGGTTAGCCGAAACCCAAGCTCTGATCGGACTTTCTTCAAAGTCGAGGGCAGCCACTGAACTGCATGGTAATCAATTAATAAGGGGTCGCTGCTATAAATAATCAGAAGTGACTTCGGCGGGGGATGTTCGACTGGGGGTTGGTTGGCAGGACACGGCCTAGCAGGCGAAATAACCGCCCTCTGACATAAGTGGCGAATAAAAACAATAATAAAACTTTTACACTGAAGAAAAACATATACATATATTGAAGGTTATAATAATGGTTAAAAGTGAAGAACCTATCATATCTGCTGCTATAATAGTTATGTATACAGTAGGAATAAAGGGACATTTCCAATTTAAATCGATACTAACTTTGCATTGCTTATATATTTGACATGAAATGTGCATATTTCCTATGACAAAATTGTAGTGACTGAGTACTCATTTCTCTCCGTGTGGCCTTTGCGACAGGAATACTAGTCGGGTAGTTCCGTATCCGTATCCGCTGGATGAGTCATGCCGACAACGTGTCGTATGCGTGTTTTGCGAGAAGGAGTGAGATGGCGCTGAATACTTATCAATTTGAATGCATTAAAGCGGGCAAAAGGAACTGAGGGGTGGCCAAGGGTGGTGGGGGGATTGCATGAGTGCCATTTCCTGGCCGCAACGACTTTTCGGACCCGGCCCATAGGGGTTGGCTGCAATCTAAAGCCTAAAGCCAGGGGGCCAAAGGACGTTAACCTTTTGGGCATTGTTTGCGAGGCGTCGCCCGGGGACACAGCACAGGTCATCTACTAGGCACACAAACTATATATATATATGTGTTATACACCCAAAACTCGAAAATACACCCCATTCCAAATGCTAATTG